AATATTTGGTTTGTCTTAGTGTTTATATTATAATTATAGATCCCTTTTCTAAGGTTAAGGATAGTATATTATTGGTTCTTAGGGTATATCAATAACAGAATTCACAAAAACATGTCAAAAGACACCCAAAATGCTTTTGATAAAATCCAACACCTATTCCTAGCCTTTCACAAAATACAAACTCTATTCATGATAAAAACACTGAAGGAAATAGGTATTGAAAGACCTTAAATCAATCCGTTAAAAGTCATTTATGACAAACCTACTGCCAATACCATATGATATAGAGAAAAACCAAAAGCTTTCCCTCTAAAATCAGGAACAAAGCTGGGGATACTGGCACATAGCTGTAATCCCAGCACTTGAGAGACTGAAGTGGGAGGATTTTCTGCAAGTTTGAGGACAGCCTAGGCGACATAATGAGTTCAAAACCAACCTAGACTACATAGTGAGACCCTGTCTCAAAAAAAAATCAGGATCAAGACAAGGATGTTCATTATCATCAACACTCCTGTTTGATATAGTACTTGAAACATTAGCCAGAGCCATCAGGCAAGAGAAAGAAATAAAAGGGATATGTACAGGAAAAGAAGAAGTCAGTTTATCATCATTTACAGATGACATGATCCCTCACATACAGCATCCAAAAAATTCCACCAGGAAACTCTTAAAATGAATAACCAAATTCAGCATGATGTCAGGATACACAATCAACATACAAAAGTCAGCAGTGTCCCTATATAACAATATTGAACCCACTGAAAAAGAAATTAGGAAGACAATATAATTCACAAAAACATAAAAAATTAAATACTGTACTTAGAAGTTAACCTAACCAAAGAAGTGAAAGAGCTCCATGATGAAAACTAGTACTCTGAAAAAAGAGATTGAAACAAACATCAGAAATTGAAAATATGTCCCTTCTTCCTGGATAAGTAAAATTAATATTGACAAAATGGTCATAGTTCCCAAACTGGTATAATATTAGCACCGTCCCATTTAAAATACCAACAGCACTCCTTATAGAACTACGGAAAACAATCCTAAAATTCACATGGAACACGGAGAGATCCAGAATGGCAAAAAAACTCCTAGGTACAAGATTAAAGCCAAAGGCATTTCAATACTGGATTTCAAGTTATTTTACAAACCTACGGGGATAAAAACAGCATGGTACTGGCATGAAAACAGACATGTGGATCAGAAGAACAGAATACAGGATGCAGAAACAACCACAAACAATTTTAACTATTTGGTCTTTGACAATAAGGGGAAAACATAGTGGAGGAAAGATGAACTCTTTAATAAATGGTGTGAAAACTGACTATATGCATGCAGAAAATTGAAGGTAGACCCATCTCTTACAATGCACTGAATTAAAATTCAAAATGGATCAAAGATCTAAATTTTAAAAGAAAAACAATCTTTTGGAAGATAATATAAGTAAAACTCTTGAAGACATAGTTGTAGGGAAATGATTTTCTGAAAAGAACGCCAATAGCACAAGTAATAACATCAAAGAATACAAATGTGAGATATCAAATTAAAAATCTGCACAGCAAAGGAAACAACAGAATGAAGGCACAACCTCTGAATGGGAAAAAAATTTTGCAGCTGTTCCTTGGACAGAGAAGTAATATCTACAGTATATAAAGAACTAAAAAATAATTAGACTCCCTATCTTAGTTACTTTCATTGTTGCAAAATACCTGATGCACAAAGTTAAGGCAGGCAAGGTTTTTTTTTAGCTCAGTTTGTAGAGGTTTCAGTCCATCACCAGTTTACTCCAAGGAAAAGGGGCATCACAGAGGAGAACCAGTCCATGACAGGCAGGAGGTAGCAAAACAATAACAGAAAGCTGCAGCTCTTTTATCCCTTATATCTTATCCAGGATACTTAGAACAGGTAGCACTCACACCTTTAATCCTAGTGCTGTTGATTCTAGCATTGCACCATGAATCAATCTTGGCATTATACACTGTAGATCCAGCCACATCTGAAAAAGTCTCACCTATAACTAATTGCTTGAGTCTTTGCAGGGACATCTAGACACAAGCCATAATACTCCCCAAAATAAAAGACCCAGTCAAAACGTATGCAACTGGATGAATACATATTTCTTGGAAGAAGACTTACAAATGAACAATAATACATTAAGAAATGTTCAACATTGCTGGTCATTAGAGAAATGCAAATAAAATTAACACTGAGATTCCATCTTACTCTACAAAGAATAGCTATCATCAAGGAATCAAATAATGTAAGTGCTGGCGAGGCTGCAGGGAAATAGAAACCATTCTACATTGCTGGTGGGAATGTAAATAAGTATAATCATTATGGAAATCATTTTGGTGAGTCCTCAAGAAATTAAAACTAGAGGGCTGGGGATTTAGCTCAGCGGTAAAGCACCTGCCTGGCAAGC